GCTAAATGGGTTATAGGGCTATAAGGCTATAGGGCTATAGAGCGATAGGGATCTGGGGCTATAAGGCTATAGGGCTACAGGGCACCGGGCACCCAGCACACGGCACCCGGGCACCCACCCGGGCACCGGGCACCCGTCACCCGGGCACCCGGGCACCCGAGCATCCGGGCACCCGGGCACCCGGCCACCGAATCGGCGGCGAACCCGGGCACCCGGGCACCTGGGCACCCGGGCCCGGCCACCGAATCGGCGGCGAACCCGGGCACCCGGGCACCCGGGCACCCGGGCCCGGCCACCGAATCGGCGGCACACCTCACCTACCCTTAAATCCGCCAGGACCCCTACAGAGGCAAGCTCTGATTGGGGAATCATCATCGTCATCAGCATCAGCATCACCATCATCATCGTCGTCAGCATCATCAGCATCATCATCATCATAATCCGCATCAGCAGCATCAGCAGCAATATCATCATCCTCGTCGTCATCATCATTACCATCATCCTTATCATCAGCACCATCACCATCGTCGTCAGCATCATCATCACCATCATCATCAGCATCATCATCATCAGCATCAGCATCAGCATCAGCATCATCATCAGCAGCATCATCAGCATCATCAGCATCATCATCATCGTCAGCATCAGAAGCAGCATAATCATCGTCATCATCATCGGCATCATCATCGTCATCAGCATCATCAGCATCACCATAATCGTCGTCGGAATCAGCATCAGAAGCAACATCATCATCATCATCATCATCATCATCATCATCATCATCATCACCATCAACATCGTCATCATCATCAGGAGCAGCACCATACTCATGATAATCATTATCATCGTCATCATCATCATCATCATCATCATCATCATCAGCATCATCAGCATCATCATCGTCAGCATCATCAGCAGCAGCAGCATCAGCAACCTCATCATCATCAGCAGCATAATCATCAGCATCAGCATCAGCATTGTCATCATCATCATCATCATCATCATCATCATCATCATCATCATCATCATCATCACCATCATCAGAAGCAGCAGCAGCAGCCTGATCCTCATCCTCATCCTCATCCTCAGCCACAGCCTCACCATCATCATCATCATCATCATCATCATCAGCATCAGCATCATCGTCATCGCCAGCATCATCATCATCATCATCATCATCATCATCATCGTCATCATCGCCCTCATCAAAATCCTCCTCCTCCTCCTCCTCCTCTTCCTCCTCCTCCTACTCTTCCTTGTCCTCCACCTCTCCCTCTCCTCCTCGTTCTCCTCCTCCTCCTCCTCCTCCTCCTCTTGTTCATCCTCCTCCTCCTCCTCCTCCTCCTCCTCCTAGTCATCATCATCAGCATCATCAGCATCATCATCAGCATCATCATCAGCAGCAGCATTATCCATCAGCATCATCATCAGCATCATCAGTATCATCAGCATCATCATCAGCAGCCTCTCCTCCTCGTTCTCCTCCTCCTCCTCCTCCTCCTCCTCTTGTTCATCCTCCTCCTCCTCCTCCTCCTCCTCCTCCTAGTCATCATCATCAGCATCATCAGCATCATCATCAGCATCATCATCAGCAGCAGCATTATCCATCAGCATCATCATCAGCATCATCAGTATCATCAGCATCATCATCAGCAGCATTAGCATCATCGTCACCATGTTCATCATCATCATTATCATCACCATCATCATCATCATCATCATCAGCATCATCATCATCATCATCATCATCATCATCGTCATCATGATGATAAACAGCATCATCAGCATCATCTTCAGGGGCAGCATCATCACCATAATACTATAATTAACAATACTGATGCTAATAATCATAATAACAACAATGATAATAATACTAATCATAATCGGCATCATCATCATCATCATCATCAGCAGCAGCATCATCATCATCATCAGCATCATCAGCAGCATCATCATCATCATAAGTATCATCATCAGCATCATCAGCAGCAGCAGCAGCGACAGAATCAGCATCAGCATCATCACCATCGTCGCCAGCATTATGACAATCATCATCGTCGCCAGCATCATCATCAGCATCATCATCAGCATCAGCATCAGCATCATCAGCATCATCATCATTATCATCACCATCATCACCAGCAGCATCGTCGTCAGCATCATCATCATCAGCAACATCATCAGCATCAGCATCATCAGCATCAACAGCATCAGCATCCTCATCGGCATCATCATCATCATCATCATCATCATCAGTATCATCATCATCGTCGGAATCATCATCAGCATCATCAGCGTCGTCATCATAACCATCATCATCAATCATGAGCAAAGTCAGCGTCATCATCATCAGCATCAACATCATTATCACAATCATCAGCATCAGCATCAGCAGCAGCATCAGTAGCAGCCTGATCCTCATCATCATCCTCATCATCAGGCACAGCCTCATCATCATCATCATCATCATCATCATCATCATCATCATCATCATCATCATCATCATCATCATCATCATCATTACCGTCATCAACATCATCATCATCATCATCAGCATCATCATCGTCATCGTCATCGTCATCTTCATCTTCATCATCATCAGCATCGTCATCTTCATCATCATTACCATCCTTCTCCGCCTCCCCCTCCTCCTCCATGCTCCCTTCCGCCTCCCCCCTCCTCCTCCTCTTCCGCCTCCCCCTCCTCCTCCATGCTACCCGTCTCTCTTCCTCATCCGTATCCTCCTCCTCATCATCATCATCATCATCAGCATTATCATCATCATCATCATCATCATCATCATCATCATCATCATCATCATCATCATCCTTCGCCTCCCCCTCCTCCTGCATGCTCCCTCCTCCACCCGTCTCTCCTCCTCATCCGTATCCTCCTCATCCGTGCGCCCATCCTCTCCGCCTCCCTCGCCTTCCCCCCTGCCTCCTCCTCTCCTACGTCAGCACAGCTGTTTCGTTGCGTGGGCCCCCCAGGCCCGCCTCTCATCCCGCGCCGCTGCCTGGCGATCCCTGGGCCCGGGAGCGGCACAGCCCCGCCGACCGACGCTTCACTGAAACCCCCTGGCGCAAAGGGAAGCTGAAAGGCACCGACACCGCCATTCCCCGGACCTTGTCCAGGGGTGCGCTGTGACCAGAATTTCGGGGCGGATCCAGCGGCGGCGACGAAGGCCTCCCAGGAGGCATGAAAAGCAAATACGGGCGAAGAGTAGCGGTAGCGGTACCTTCTCCTCCTCTGGTCAGGCGTCTGAGCCGTCCGAACATGAGAGCACGAGCGAGCTGCGGCCCGCGCCCGTCATCAGGCCGAACAACACGGGCTCGTCCTTGTTCGCGGAGAGGTACACCTGCCAGTTGCTGACCTGTGGGGAAGCGCCAGGTGAACGCTTCTTATTCGGCGTTTCGACATTGGGCGGAAGGGGGGGTCTGGCTCTGGACCTCTGCGACTGTTTGCAGCAGTGCGTCCTATGGGGGAGACTCCGCCTGCGTGAAACAGGCGCCAAAAACAGCCAACGTCTATTACATGGGTGGGGGGGGTGCAAGGGCCCGCGCCGATCGGCAAAACAATGAATAAGAAAACGATCACCAGGTAGAGGGAGGGGTGGAGGGGAGGAGGGGACGAGACGCGCGGGAGAGGATCGAGGGAAGAGACGCGAGGGAGGGGAAGAGGGAAGGAGACGCGAGGGAAGGGGTGGAGAAGAGGGGTGGAGGGGAGGAGACGCGGAAGGGAGTGGAGGACGGGGTGGAGGAAAGATTGGAGGCGCGGGGGTGGAGGCGTGGGGGCGGAGGAAGGGGTGGAGGGGAGGAGACGCGAGGGAGCGGATCGAGGGTCGAAGGCTCGAAGGCTCGAGGCTCGTGGCTGTTCTGATGCTTGTGTGGCCTTGTTTGGGCCTCTTGGAGCGCCCTGGTGGCCCCGCAAGAAGTCCCTCGAAATCCAAAGCCAGGGAGCCCTTCAGGACAAGTATAGTTTGGGGTCGTCGTTGGCGTCGTCGTCGTCATCGACGTCGCCCTCCTCCTCCTATTACTATTACTAGCATCCGCATTATTATTCGTATTAAAAGTTGTAGTATTACTATTACTAGTGTTATTATTGCTGTTAGTTGCATCAGTATTGTTGGTAGCATTCGCAATATTACTAGTCTTGCGCGGCTGCATATGACTGTTGTTCGAATATGTTTACTAGAACGCTTCGTATTAGTATTATTAGTGTGATGCGTGCGATTCCCCTTGTTTTGTATGATTACAAGTATCAGTCCAATGTGTTTATGAGTATCCTATGTTTCATCGTATTCTTGGTATGCATATTAGTAGTTATGTTATTCATAGTGTCATTAGAGTTCGCATTAGGCGTCATTGTCTTCCCATTTCCATTAGCAGTATGACTCGTATTATTCTTACTACAAGTAGTATCATCATTCGTCGTCTTATTCTTCATGTTCTTATTTAATCATCCTCTTCCCCCGCATCGTCATCATCAACATCGTCATCATTATCAACATCGTCAGCATCATCACAATCATCATCAGCAACATCATAATCATCCGCATCCTCATCCTCCTCCTCTTTCACTTCCTACACGTCCTCCTTCTCCTCCTCAGCCTCCTTTTCCTGCTCCTCATCAGCATCATCACAATCATCCTCGTATGCATCATCATCACTACCATCATCATCCTCATCATTATCATCACTATCATCATCATCCTCATAATCATCACCATCATCAGCTCACCATCCGCATCATCATCGAATCACCATCAGCATCGCCACCCTCACGATCGTCATCGTCATCATCATCATCAGCATCAGCACCATCCTCATCCTCATACTCACCATCCCCGCCACCATCATCATCAGCATCATCATCGGCATCAGCATCTTCATCAGCATCATTAACACCATCGCCACCATTCATCATCAGCGACATCATCAACATTAACATCGGCATCCCCATTGTTATCAGCATCACCACCATCATCAGCAGAAGCAACAGCATCAGCATCACCATCAGCACCATCATCATCAACATCATCATCATCAGAATCATCATCGTCGCCGTCGGCATCAGCGCCAGCATCATTATCATCCTCATCATCAGCAGCATCATCAGCAGCATCATCGTCATCGTCATCGTCCATCATCATCATCCTCATCATCATCATCATCGTCATCATAATGAGCACCACCAACATCAGCGTCATCCTCATCACCGTCATCGCCATCAGCTGAATCATCCGCATCATCCTCATCATCACCAGCAATATCATCACCGACATCGTAGTCGCCGTCATCGGTACCATCATAGGCATCATCATCAGCATCATCTGCATCGCCATCATAATCCGGAGTTGCATCGTTAGCAGCATCAGCATCGCCATCATCATCATCGTCAGCAGCACCATCATCATCGCCATCGTCATCGCCATCCATCACCCTCATCAGAGTCGGCATCATCAGTATCGTAATCATCGTCAGCAGCACCACCATCAGCGTCATCATCGTAGTCACCATCCGTCAGTGGCATCAGCATCAGCAGCAGCAGCAGGCCCGTCGTCGCGATCGTCATCAGCATCATCATCATCACCATCCTCATCAGCATCATCATCCTCATCATCCTCATCATCACCGCCATTATCATCATCCTTAACATCAGCAGCACTATGATCAGCACCAGCATCAGCATCAGCGTCATAGTCATCAGCATCATCATCATCATCATCATCATCATCATCATCATCATCCACATAATCAACATAATTACCACCATCGTCATCACCAGAATCAGCATCAGCATCATCAACACCACCATCACCATCACCATCACCACCAGAATCAGTATCAACATCATCAGCATTCTCATCATCATCATCATCACGTCCTCACCATCTTCACCTTATTAGTATTCCTCCTCACCATCATCATCACAAACAGCACCAGCACCACCATCACCATTATCAGCATGATCAGCACCATCATCAGCAGCAACGTCATCGTCATAATCAGCATCCTAATTATCGCCGGCATCGTCATCATCAGCATCATCATCAGCATCAGCATCATCATTATCATCATCATAATCATCATCACCGTCATCATCATCAGCAGCATCAGTATCATCAGTATCATTAGTAGCATCAGCATCATCATCAGCATCAGCATCATCATCACCAGCAGCAGCATCATCATCATCGTCATCATTATCATCCCCCTCCCCCTCCTCCACCACCTTCTCCTCCTCCTCCTCCTTCTCCGCGTCCTCCTCCTCCCCGCCTCCTCCTCATCCTCCTGCTCCTCATCCTCCTCCTTCTCCCCCTCCTCGCTTCTCACTCCTCGCTCCTCACTCCTCACTCCTAACTCCGCACTCCGCACTCCTGCTGCTCCTCCTCCTCGTCCTCCTCGTCCTCCTCCTCTTCATCCTTCTCCTCCTGCCCCTCCTGCTGCTGTTACTCCTTCTGCTCCTCTCTTGCTTCTCCTGCTGTTCCTGCTCCTCCTTCTCCTCCTCATCCTGCTCCTCCTGCTTCTGCTCCTGCTCCTGCTCCTCCTCCGCCTCCACCTCCTCCTCCTGACGCTCCTCCTCCTCCTCCCTCCTCCTCCTCCTCCTCCTCCTCCTCCTCCTCCTCCTCATGCTGTTGCTCCTCCTCCGCCTCCTCCTCCTCCGCCTCCTCCTCCGCCTCTTCCTCATCCTCGTCCTCCTCGTCCTCCGCCTCCTCCTCCTGCTGCTGCTCCTCTTGCTCCTGATCTCCCTCCTCATGCTCCTCCTCTTTTTTCGGAATAGTATTAGTACTATTAGTATTAGTTTTAGTAATAGGATTGCTTGTAGTTTTAAGAATACTAGTGTCATTCAGAGTAGTAGTATATGTGATTGCGCATATCATTATTATCGTCATTAGTATGAAATGTTAAGTCGCGCCAGCATCATCGTCTTAGTACTATGAATGGTATTATAATGTTTCTTGTGATACCTAGTCGTTTTCTTCTTATTAGTCTTATTGTTCCTGTTCTGATTAGTATTACCACTATAATTGTAATTATGATTATTCGTCTGATTCTTCTTTTTATGACTATCATTATGATTGATAGCGTTCTCACTACTCATCATTATTACTCATCCTCCTCCTACTCCTCCTCCTCCTCATCATCATCATCATCATCATCATCATTATCATCATCAGCAGCATCAGCATCAGCATCAGCATGAGCATCATCATCCCTTCCCCTCCCTTCCCCTCCCCTCCCCTCCCCTCCCCTCCCCTCCCCTCCCCTCCTCTTCCCTTCCTCTCCCTATTACTCCCACTCTTGCCGTGAGACGCCTCCCCTCCCCCTCCATTCCGACCGACTTCCCACGTGGCCCCGCGCACAGGAGCGAGACCGCGCGGCTCTCGGAAGGCCCGCGAAGCAGCCCAGGGGACCTCCGGAGAGCTCCACGGACCTCCGGAGACTTCCAGAGACCCGGAGAGACCTCCTGGCGTATCGGCCTGACAAACTTGTCTCTTCCCGTCCCACCCCTCCGACCTCCACCGGCCAGTCTTGTTCCATGGGCTCTCACCTCGGGGGGCATTTCCGTGCCCTGGGACCACATTCTACCGCAAGGGCGGGGGGGGAGGGGTCCAGACCCCTCCCCTCTGTTTTTTTTTCGGCGGGGGGAGGGGGGTAGTGAAGCGTTCACTCCACGCCCTGGACGACTCGGGCGGCCTGTTGAAGCCTGCCGGGACTACCTCGAGGGGACTGTTGGGGCCAGCCAGGGCTACCTGCGGGGACTGACGGGACACACGCCTTTTCAGGCGGCGGCGGCGCAACTGGCTGAAGAGTACACAGAGGTATGCACTTGCGAAACGTTGAGGTGCCAACAGGTGGTTGCACTGTGAGCATGACGAAGCCCACCAGCAGCCTGGTCATTCACGGGCAAAGCATGACGTACTTCAGAAGCACCATCAACAACGACGGCGATACAAACAGAACTCTCGCGCCAGCTGGGAGCGGCGCGGGCAGAATCCACCACTAATACATCAGGAGAATATCTGCCGCAACAGTGCTCCAGCTAACGGGGGCGAGTCTGCTGAGCAACACACTCCTCCACTGGCAAGTTATGTTTGCGTCGGGTCGCACAGAAGCCAGGCGGCGATGCCGTGCGTCTCGCTTTGTTCCAACAATTTCTTCCATCTCCCCACGACACCAACCCTGCAAAGAAAACGGATCTCGCCGCGGATCCCCGTGCCACTTTAGATATGTACGGATGTGTGCATTGAACATATACAAAGAAATTCATGCGTGTTCTGGCACACTCGTGAAAGTGCCACGGGATGTAGAGGACCTCCCGGCGCTCTGGAGAAGCGGCCAAAATGGACAACGCGTGGATGAACGCACTGCACAGCACAGCGAAGCTACCTGCCCATCCGCGCTGTGCTCACGACTATTGCACCCCATCTATCGGGTCGGGCAAAAGGGGGAGATAGCAAAGGGGGGGTTTGAGAATCAGCTCACGTAGCTGATTTTCCCGGCGCCTCCCGGCGCCGAAGGCGGCTATGTATCGAGGAATGGGCCCCTCGGTGAGGCCAAAACCAGCTGCATGCAGCAAATTTCGTAACCCCCCCTTTCCCAGTCCCCCCCTTTCGCCCGGCCCGAATCTAGCACGCCTTCATTACATCGCCCCGTCGCTCCCTCCCTCCGTTCCCACACTCTTGACGTATCCCGCCTTCCGTTCCTGCCCCTCCCGCCCTCCTCCTCTCCTCCCTTCCAGTCTTCCCGTGTTGCCCCTTCGCCACTGGCTTGCCCGTCTCAGCGCAGACCAGAAACACTATGATGATCGTCTCCGCGATGAAGAACACCACCAGAATCCAGTGGGCCGCGCGCTGCATCTGATCCTGTCGTACCACGGTTGTGGGCGGTATAGAGAGAAGGAGAGAGAGCGATAGAGAGAGAGGGAACAACAAAAAACAAAAAACAAAAAACTCAACAACCAAAAAAACGTTTAAAATATGATAGAGATAAGAAGAAAAAACAAAAAAAAAAAAAAAAAAAAAAAAAAAAAAAAAAAAAAAAAAAAAAAAAAAAAAAAAAAAAAAAAAAAAAAAAAAAAAACGAGAGAGAGAGAGGAGAGAGAGGAAGAGAGAGAGAGAGGCAGACAGGCAGGCAGGCAGACAGACAGACAGGCAGGCAGGCAGACAGACAGACTGACCAGAACAGACAGACAGACAGACCAGAACAGACAGACAGGACAGACAGACAGACAGACAGAGAGAGAGAGAGATGTTGAGCACGAGCGCTGCGCTGCATGCTTGCAGCACACTGAAAATGTCAGAAACAAGTGGGGTTCCTGTCCCTTCGGTGTGGAGCCCACTGCAATTTCTGTTCCGACTGGCCTGGACGTGCTTGCTCATGCCCGCGCGAAGGTCGAACCGAGGGCCCGCACACTGCTCGCCCAACTGGCCGGGTGAGCACCAGACGAACAGCATTTGCTCACTGCTCACACGACCACGAGGGAGTCGCTGGAGCAATCAAGCAACACGCATGTGCGGTTGAGGTCCCTTGTAGTGCGGTTACAGGTCTTGGGGGGGGACAGCTTGCGGTGCCCAGGGGAGAGAGGGGGGGGGGGCTCGACGTGGCCTTCGCTTCTCGAAGTACGAAAACGAATACGACAGTGGCAGACACGCTGGGATCCTGTCGGCGGACCCATCCACGACCACCGATGGGGCGGGGGGACCTCCCGAAGAACCTCGACATAATCGGAGCGCCACTCCACCCCCGACAAGTCGATGCGGGGCCAGAGGGGCAAAACGGAAGCAGCAAGGCGCACCGCGCACTGGGCGCACCGAACAGCACGGCCGACGAACGCGATGCGCTCTCCGGAGGGCCGGGGACGCACGTCGGCTCCGGGCTTCGCTGCTCGGTCAGCCGCACCGTTCCCAGCGCACCGGAAGCGCTCTGCCTCGCCGGCGCCAGGATCCTCGAGGGCCCGACGTGCACGGACTTTCTCACGCCCAAACTTGAGGGACGAAAAAACGACCCTACCCTGGGTTACGAGTGCGTGGTTTGTAAACCTCCTGGGAACCCCCAAAGCCTAGAGCCGCCAGGACGCGGCAGATGACGCAGAGTTTACCCTGTCAGCCGACAGGAGTTTCAGCGCACAGCGCCTCGTAAACCAGGGTAGGGGCGTTTTTTATGCCCTTGACAAGCATCCCCTTGCCACCGCGAGACAAGCCCTGAAGCACAGGACTGGCATATGGGACACTTGGATGAGAGCCGCAACTGACTAGGCAAACTGTGCATGCTGGCTACGTTGGCGCAATCGGAATAGAGCTGGGCCGGGGCTGAAGCGACTGCTCCCGCCATCGCCTAAACCGTGAACTCGCCAGGCTGTGGAGCTCCAGGAAGGCCCGAAGAGGCCAAAATCACAGATTCTCCCTAAGTGTTTGACGGATTTGGGCATTTGCTTCTTGTCGGCCTTCCGACGGCCCGAGACGGCCCAAGAGCCCCCACAGATCACCCAAAGATCGCACAAGAGGCCTTCAAGGAACGGCCCAAGAGGCCCCCAAGACGGCCCCAAGAGGGCCCCAAGGCGGCCCAAGAGGCCTCCAAGACGCCCAAGATGGCCCCCAAGACGGCCCTGGAGCACCCAAGAGGGCCCCAAGTCGGCCAAAAAAGGCTCCCAAAACGAGCAAGGACAAAGAGGCATCCGAGAAGCCCCCAAAGGCCCCCAAGAGGCCCAAAGAGGCCCCCAAGATACCTCCAAGAGGCTCCCAGGAAGCTCCAAGGAGGCCCCAATAGTGCCCCCAGAGGATCCAAAAATGTCCCCTCCTCCTCCTCCTCCTCCTCCTCCTCCTCCTCCTCCTCCTCCTCCTCCTCCTCCTCCTTCTCCTGCTCCTCCTCCTCCTCCTCCTCCTGATCTTCCCCGCCATCCCCCCCCAAGTGTCCCCCGAAAGGTCTCCACAGCGACTGCGGGAACACATGGTCCAACAGCATCGCAGAGCTCTTGCCGCAACGCTCGGCCACATGGGCGACCCCAAAAGGCAGGGGGCGGCGGTGATTCGCCGCAGGCGTCTTCGATGTGATTCAACACATGTCCCCACCGCTTCTGCACGCCCAATAGGCTTCCACGGCGGCCCGTTCCACGACGCTGCCCTCCTTCCAACGGCTCCCCTGGCAATGGTTTCCAGATGGGCTGGTGGGGATTCTTTTGTTTGCGAGCGCAAACGGAAGGGCCGCGCGCCGTCCAAAGCTACAGCTAATAAGCAAAAGCCCAAATTGCACACCCGAGAGAGACAGAGAGAGAGAGAGAGAAAGGGAGAGAGAGAGAGAGAGAGAAAACAAAGAGAGAGAGAGAGAGAGAGAGAGAGAGAGAGAGAGAGACAACAATGGAGCAACAGGAGGAGAGACTAGCCGGGGCGGACCGCGCGGCGCTCACGGAGAAGGTGTCATCGGCAGCTTGCAACCGACAGGGGGTGCACGCCAACAGACAGAAGCCATACGCCCAAGGCGCGTCGGCAAACGCACATTCATACACTACACACACCGCTCTCTCAATCGATGTCTCCAAACAAGAGGATCTTGAACGAGATCTTGCAATCTGTCTCCTTCCCCGCATGCCCGGTGCGCATGTGACCCCAAGAATTTCGCCCACTCCAGCCGCGGCGCCCCCACCTTCCTCACGAAGGCGTCCGTGACCGGCGTCAAAGTCCCAGGGATGAAAACAGAATCGCGAAGAGGGTCTCCTGCTGGTCCACGCACTGCCTTGCCATATAAAGCGAGCCGGCGCTTCAGCAGAATGGCCGTCAACGGGGGCTGGCCCGTGCGTGCTCGTATCAAGTCGTTCGACACGCGCGAAATCATCGGGTGTCTGAAGCCGCGCAAAGTCCTTGGCATTCTGCAGCGCGCCCCGTCTAGTCTCCTTTTCTCCGCAGCGTTCAGAACGACAGAGCACAAGCTGTACAAGTGCTTCGAGATGATGACGGCGTTGAAAAGTTCGAGTTTCCTTGCCTCGCCGATATTCGAGTGGCCCGACAACTGCTTCAGCTTGCGGAAACTGGCGAACGCCATCCCAAGCCTCCTGGTCAACTCGCCGCCCGCTTTCCCGTCGTTGTTCAAGGTGGCTCCGAGGTACGATAAGGTGTCCTTGGGCGTGATTTCCTCGCCCTGTGGCGTCCTGACTTTTCTTTGGCACCGGATTCTGAGAAGCTGCAACTTGCCCCAATGCATCTCCAGCCCCATTGTGCCAGCTGCAATTTGGACCACGTTGAGCCACTTTTCCATGTCGCCGGTGGTCCTCGTCATCAGCAGCGCGTCGTCCGCGTTCACCAGCTGACCGAATCTGCGTGCGTCGCTTTCTCCCAGCTCGACCTCTGCGCCCCTCATGATTACTGTCATCACAATGACAAATAAGAAAGGCGACGAAGGACAACCTTGCGATATTCCAGATTTTTGGCTGCGCTCGGCCGAAATAACTCCGTTCTCCCTGACCTGAAACGTTCGCCCCGTGTAGATGTCGGCAACGACGCTCCTCACGTGCTCTGGCAGCCCGAATCTCTCCAAGGCGGTCATCATGGCCTCTCTATATTCACAGAGTCGCATGCTTGCTTCCAGCCCAGGGCGAGGATGCACGAGTTCCCATGGCGCGAAGCCCACGCGGCCTCGACGCGGCGCCTCAGGATGCAGATCGTGTCTTGCGTGCTCCTCCCCGTGCGGAATCCGAACTGAAACTTGGACAAGCGGCCCTCTGCTCCACCGTCCACCAGGCGCTGCTTGATGAGGGCCGCGAATATTTTGCACCCGAGGCTCAACAAGCTTATGGGCCGGTGGTTCTCTGGCAATTCAGCGTTGTCTGTTTGCGCAACCAACATGCGTTGAAGAACTCTGCGATGTAGGCCAAACAGTCTGTACTCCGGGCATAAGCTTTCCAGCATTCAGCCGGGATGCCATCTTCGCCAGCTGCCCTGTTGTTCCTCAACCTGCCGATGACTTCTCGCACCTCGTCCGCCGTGAACGCGGCTTCGTTGACCAGGAGCTGCGGCCCAAGCGGCGGGGCATCGACGGCGACAGCCGGCCGGACCCGCCATTGAACTCTCTCCAGGTACTCAGCCATCGTGTCCGCTTTTTCGCTGCTCATGGCGAGCTCCCCGTCGACGTTTCGCAAGCTGGACTGCGTTGGCTTTCTCGGCTTTCTGAGGGTTTCGAGATCATCCCATTCCCCTGTCCGCATGCGATCGTTTAGCCATGCCGTCTTGTCGGTCTTGGCAGACCTCCTCACCAACTTGTGATATTCGTTCTGCCTCTTCGCATCTCCGGCCAGTCTTGCCTCGGCACGCCGGTCGATTTGGTCCACTGTGCTCTGGGTGATCCAAGGCCTCCTGGTGGTCGCCGCCTTGTCTGGGATGGCGTGTTCGCTTGCTGTGAAAGCTTCAATCATCGAGCGCCAAGTTTCCTCTGGAGTGCTGTCGTGCGCCTGCCCCCGGACGCGCTCGAGGAAAGAACGTGTGAATGTGCCTGCCACGGCCGGTGTTTTTAGAGCTTTCCTGTCTTTCCTCGGCGCCTTGTGTTGGACGAACATGTCACAGTCGACGCAGATATCACAGGTCACGAGAAAGTGGTTCGTTTGGAGAGCTGCTGCCCTGTTGCTCCTCACATTCTGGACGCTCTCTTGCATTACGGACTCTGCCAGCACCAGATCGAGCATGCTGTGGGTGTCTTCTGCGACGGCGCTCATGTGGGCCACCCCGGTCTCTACGAAAGTAGCTTTGGTTTCTGGCGCTCCCGCCTTCAAGGCGTTAGCAACCACGAACTCGCGTTCCAAGCAAAACTGCATCAACAGGTCGCGGTTGGATATCTCAACTTTCTTGATGGCTTCTCTGCCCCAGCCGTGTTCACCTAGAACATCGTCTTCTCCAGGGCGTCGCTTTCCCATGCGTGCGTTGCAGTCACCCAGTAAAATATTTGGCCCGTTCGTCGAACACTCGTCGTACAAGTTTGCGAGGTTTTCCTTTTTATATAAAAAAAGAAAAAAGATTATCATACAAAATCATCTTCAGTCGGCTTCTCATTGCGAGGGGCGTACGCCGTAACAATGCCCACCGTGCAATTTCTCGCCTGCATCGTCAAGTATGCAGTCCTCCCCGTGTGCTGCAAAAAACCACAGATGTTATGCTTGGCCCACGGTGCCACCACGAAGCCAACTCCAGCTCTCTCCGGTCCACTCCCAGACAAGATCACGGTGAAACCTTTTTCCGAATAACTGTCAGAGCATTGCTTCAACGTCTCTTGAACGCATAATACATCCACTTTGTAGCGTTTCATGTGCGCCCGTATGCAAATTAATTTTTCATCGGTCAGGCCCTGAACATTCCACGTTCCAGTTCGTACTCGCTGCCTGTGGACGTCCTCCTAATGCCCTCCCCGATATCCCGCTCCATCATCTCTGTGCCGATCGCGGGGTGAAGCTTTGTTGCCGACACGCCCTGGGCCCCCGCAATTGGGGGGGCTTCCCCTTGCCCCAGCCCTTCTGGCCCCCATCTTTCATGTTCTCGAGGCGCTTCGTGGCCTTCGCGACTAGCTCAACAAAGCACCCGGCCGACGTGAAATCCTTCCTCGTCTTCCAGTCTTCCAACAGCCACTTGATGTTGAAGGCGCTGTTCTCCACCTGGGCCTGCATCACCTTAGTGCCCCCCACTGTGAGGCTCAGATCGTCCTCGTCCACCTTGATCGCCCTCTTGTTGAAATCCCAACCGGCCAACATGTTCTTCACACCGAAAAGGAAATTGAGGGGAACGCGCTCATGTAAAGGACGATCCGGAGCCCCCCACACAAGAATTCCCTTGAACTTCAACCTCTGGCTCCTGAGAATGTCGATCGCTCCTTGCACGGTTGGGCCGGTAGCGAACTTTGCAAAAACGATGCCGTTGAAACCCTCCCCCTTGTAGAATACCTCGGTCGGCTCGGGTACTCCGACTTTCTTTAGCTGAGAACTTATCTAGTCAGACGCTTCCTGGAAGTTCACCGCCTCCTAGAAGCCCCCCATGACGGCTATTTGCTTAGACCCCTTCTCCCCCGTCAGCTGACCGATGCTCTTCTTCATATCCTCGAACTTCTTGTTGATGTCCTCCTTGACGATCTCTCTCACCTCATCCCTCATCATCTCCTTGACCTCCTCCTTCGTCACCACCTTGCCCTTGAGCTTTGTCAACTCGTCCTCAACGGCTGTTGCTGCGACCATGGCCTCGAATGCTTTCTGCTTTGCCGCATTCGCCTCATCCTGCGCCTCCTGGATAGCGGCACCGTTCTTTTTCATCAGACCTTTCATCTCCTTCATGTCGCCCATCATCGTCCTCATCATCTCTTCCAATCCCATTGTCTTCTCCCCCGCCTCCTCCTCCTCCTCGTCGCCATCCATCTTGTTTAAAGGCGACTCGTGTCTTGGAAACTTTCGTTCGCCTCCGACGGGGGTGCGAATGTCGTGTTTCTTAGCCCTCGTGTTCTCCATCGTCTCCGCCATTGCAGGCGGCTCGGAAGTCGGATTAATCCAGGGGGGCTGGATTAACCCAGGGCGGCTGGCGTAGATGGATTGGCTGGCGCAGATGGATTGGCTTGAGCCAAAATGGCTACGTCAAAGTGGCGGGTAATTAGCTGGCAATGTGGTGTCCCGTGGTGACTGCGGTGCGGGGGGCAAACCCCGCAAGAGATAGCGGAAGCCGCAAATCGATAGTGAGACCGATAGTGAGATCGAGAGGTGTCCCGCGGTGTCCCGTGGTGTCCCGTGGTGTCCCGTTGAGTGAGATCGATAGTGGGATCGATACTAGGATCGACAAGTGTCCCGTGGTGTCACGTGGTGTCCCGTGGTGTCCCGTGGTGTCCCGTTGGGTGAGATCGATAGTGATAGTGAGATCGATTGAGTCAGATGTTGGTTCCCCCCTTCTCCCTCCCCACAACCTCCTTATCACCCGAAGGGTGGTCATATAGGTAGATTATATCAGGCTCGGGCTACCGAAGCTACAATCCCTTGTAAAGTACGCCATCTTCGCGCTGCCGAAGCCACGACCACTTGCAAATTATGCCAGACTCGAGCTCCCCAAGCCACAGTCCATTGTGAGTTGCGCAAGATTTGCGCAGCCGAGGCCACAACCCTTTCTGTAAATTACGACAAGGATGCGCCCCTGGGGCCACGGTCCCTCGCACATTGCTGCGCGGTGGCACTCCCGGGGCCACAATCCCTCGCAGGTTACCCCAGATTCGTGCCCCCCCCAGGCCACGGTCCATCGCAAATTAAAACTCGCACTCCCGAGGCCACACATTTTCGCAAACCACATCTCCGAGGAGCACAATGGAGTGGGAGCAGGAGGAGAGCGGGGGGGGGGGGCACTCCTCCTCCTCCTCATTCTCCTCCTTTTCCTCCTCCTCCTCCTCCTCCTCCTCCTCCTCCTCCTCCTGCTCCATCCCTTTTCCTTGTAAACAATTCTTTCCTGTCACACGTAGGCTGGGCCGCGCGTTTCGCCTGAGACTTCCTCAAAATATATGCCCTGACGCTTGGAAATGTGCAAGAGGTATAAAGATAGAGGGCGAGCCGTTTTCAACATGTAGCTATCGCCTCAGCGCCGAGCACATTCGTCGTAAAAGTTTGCAACAGCTTCAGGAATGGAGGGCGGGTCGTTTTCAAGCTGTGCTTCTCGCCTTGACGCCGCGCGCGTTAGCCTTTGCAAGTTTGCAGCAGGGTCAAGGATGAAGGCCGGCTCCTCTTCAACATGTAGTTGTCACCTAAGAGCCGCACGAAATCAAGGATTCATAGGGTTGAAGCCCCAGGCATGGCATTGCCGCACGACTTAGGATTGTCAGAACGCAATTTTCAAGTGGATTAGCGGCGTTGAAGTCACAGGAACGGCGTTCTAGTACGATGCATGGCTATCAGGACGCAATAATGGCGTTGACTCGCGGCGTCGAAGCGCTAGGAATGGTGCTTGGGCACGATCTAGGATTCTCAAACAATTTGGAAATTGAGGGGTGCCCAATCTTACCAGATGGACAATGCAAAACCGTTGTTCGATTGTATGTATGTCCCGGCGGGAAATCTCCACTTTTCACAAATTGGAGAGAAAATTCCTTCCTTTCTTCTTGGGACGGTTATCTTTCAGTGGGTCACAAACAAATACTTGCAGGGACCTGTGAAGAGGCAACTTGGAGGGAGGGCCTACTGCAACGTCGTTGATGGGTCTTGGGTTTACACTGGTCCTCCTCCTCCACCTCCACCTCCTCCTCCATCCCTTTTCCTTCTAAATAACTTCTCCCTGTCGCACCCCGAGACCAGTTTTTAGGGCGGGCCGGGCGTTTCGTATGCGACTCCCTCACCATCTGTGACTCTGAAGCTTTAAAATTGACAACAGTTTCACAAATGGAGGACGGGTCGTTTTCAAAATGTGGCTCCCGCCTTAGCGCGGCGCACATTCGTCTCTTCACGGATTGAGGGCGAGTGGTTTTCTAAATGTGGCTCTCGCCTTAGCGCCGCGCGCATTCGGTCGAAAAACTGCAAAAGTTTCACGGATTGAGGGCGGCTCCTTTTCAAAATGTGACTCTCGCCTTAGCGCGGCGCACATTCGTTTTAAACATTTGCAAGAGTTTCACGGATTCCCATCATCAACGTACCAGTAATGGTATTTTGGAAGAATTCAGTACTATGCGGGTGCAACAGTTACGTTGAATTCTCTATGTTGAAGTCCTAGGAATGGCGTTCTGGCACGATTCAGGATCGTCAAGACGCAACAGTCAGGTTGATCCGTGGCGTTGGAATCCCGAGAAAAATGTTTGGGCATGCTTCAGGTTCCTCAAACGGTTGTCTTCCAACGAGGCGGTTCCATCAATGGAAATCAACCATTGTGAGCTTGGAGGGAGGGTTTACTCCAACATCGTTGATGACTCTTGGGTTTACACTGGACCTCCTCCTCCTCCGCCTCCTCCTCCTCCTCCTCCTCCTCCTCCCCCGTGGAAGGGCGGCGCGCCCGCGATGGGGAGGCCAGGCGGGGTCCATGTAGCTCCCTCGGTACGTCGGGTCGTACTTCGTCCGCACCTGGCGCGCCAGCGCCGCATCCGCGAGGCGGTCCGGCGGCGCGCCCTCCGCCCCGCAACACGACGTCTCGTGGCGGCACGGCGTGGAATAGGGGGGGGAGGGAGGGGCCGAAGACGGGCGGGAACAACAACGGGGAAGGGAAGCAGGAGGAAGGAGGAGGAGGAGGAGCAGGAGGAGGAGGAGGAGGACGGGAGGGGAAAGGATAAGGGAGGGGAGGGGAAGGGGGAGGAGGGTAGTGAGGAGAGGGAACAAGAGGAGCAGGAGGAACGGAAGGGCAGGAGGAGCTGGAAGAGAGGGAGGAGGAGGAGGAGGAGGAGGAGGAGGAGGAGAAGGAGGAGCAGGAGGAGGAGGGGTGGAGGCAGGAGAGGGTGGGATAGAAGGAAGATGTGGGGGAGGAGAAAGACGAGGAGGAAGACGAGGAGAAATCATAGTGATCGGACGGGGGATGGTTCGCAACGATACACAGGAGGAACATAAGCAAAGGGAAAAGCGTAAGGATACATTGCTCCTCCACACACCGCCAAAGCGCGCAACCTCACGACGGTGCCACAGCGAAGAGGCGCTGCCCACGCATGCACAGCACGCCGCCGCGCGAAGCAATTGGGGCCCTCAACCAGGCTGCAAAACCACAGAGCGGCTGTCCTGGAGTTGGTGCGCGGCGGGTCGCGGGCAGGCCAGGCCAGAACGCCGAGCAAGAGGGCGGAAGCAGACCACCCAGGTGTGCCATGGCCAGAACCAAAAAAAAACAGAACAACCCAAAATAGCGCTCCGCGCGGATCTCTTGGGTCCGCGATGTGCCCCCCCTTCCTGGCGCGCGGAGCGCGCCAGGGGCGCGGATCCAAGAAACCCGCGCGGAGCGCCAAAGGTTTATTCGGGTCGGGCGAAAGGGGGGGATAGCAAAGGGGGGGTTTGAGAATCAGCTCACGTAGCTGATTTTCCTGGCGCCTCCCGGCGCCGGAGGCGGCTATGTATCGAGGAATGGGCCCCTCGGTGAGGCCGAAACCAGCTGCATGCAGCAAATTTCGTAACCCCCCCTTTCCCAATCCCCCCCTTTCGTCCGGCTCGATTTATGTTCATAGCGGTTCTTCCCCTTCTTCTTCGAACTGCAGAGACGGCTTGCAGATCTGCAGGGATGCGCGCCGGAGGCTCCCGCGGCGGTCCTCCGATCGGCCTCCGCGGGCGGCTCCCGGCCCTCGGCGCCCCTCGGCGGGCCTCGGCGGCTGCCTGGGGGGCCTGCCCCGGGTCTGCGGCAGCACGCGGCGTCGGCGGCGCGCACCAGGGGGGGGGGGGTCAGGGGGAGGGGGGAGGGCTTCTCAGAAGGAGGCGAAGCGTCTCGGAAGGCGCCAGCCCTACATCCATGGATGAGGCCCGCGCCTTCTGAGAAGCAAAGGAGGAGGAGGAGGAGGAGGAGGAGGAGGAGGAGGACGGGGGAGGATTTCTAAGAAGCAGGGGTGCTTCTGAGAAGCCTTCCCCTCCCCCTGGATTCCCCTCCTGCGTCTGCCGTGCCCTTCCGCGCCAGGCTTTTCCATCCATAGCGCACCCTCTGGGGATCGCTGCCCTGCTCGATCGCTGCACTGGGCCCCGGCGCTCGGCCACGGGCCTTCGAGCCTCGCTCGAGGCTCGAGCCTTCGAGCCTCGCGCCCCTCTGGGCTCCTGACCAACCGTGGAGGGGGGGTACCCCTCCGACGGGGGCCAACCCCGCCTCGCCGCCGCGCCGCAACCGGGGGTCGGAGCGCCCCAAGGCGCGCGGTGGCTGCCCGCGACGGGGGTCGATGTGTGGCTGTCGGCGGGGGTGACTCTCCCCCCCGACGCTTCGTAAGAAACTCGGAGCACTCGATGGAGGCTCGAGCGCTCGACCCCTCGGAGCCGCCGCGCTGCTCGCTCGAGGCTCGGGCCTGCGAGCCTCGCCCAGGCGTCGACGGGGAGGGATGGCGGGGAGGGGCGGGACGTCAGATGTGGCGCTAGCGCACCCAGTTTGCCCCTTCCCTTTCTCCTCCTCCTCCTCCTCCTCCTCCTTCTCCTCCTCCTCCTCCTCCTCCTCCTTTCTACTTCTCCTCCTTGCTCCTCCTCCTCCTCCTCCTCCTCCTCCTCTCCTCCTCCTCCCCCCCTCTCCTCCTCCTCCTCCTCCTCCTCCTCCTCCTCCTCCTCCTCTTTCCCTCCCCTCCCCCCTCCTCCCCCTCTCCTCCCCTCCCCTCTCATCTTCCCCTCCTCCTCTGCGCGTGGCTGGAAATGGAGAGGGCGAAGGACACTGGGGGGGAGAAGGGGGCGTGCTGGGGCCAGGGTGCGCCGAATCGGTAAATCAGATCGAATCGACATGTGCATCGAATCGGGCTGCATCGGCACGGACTCGAAGTCGAGTCGAACCGGTTGCGCCAAGATGCACAACTGCGCCATGCGAGCATCGGGCCGCACGGGATCGTCGGAAGATCGGAATCGAATCGGATCGGGCCGGCCAGGATCGATATCGGATCGGACCGATCGCGTCGAAAATGGGCCCTCAGAAGGGGGGGGATCCAGGCGGAGACTGCGCGCGCCCGCTGCCCGCGCGATCCGCGCGACCCCACGGGCGCCCCGCGCCGCCGACGACCTCCGCGAGCCTTCGACGCGGCGCGGCGCGGCGGCTCCCGCCCTCGCCGCGCCCGGGGCGCACGCAACCGACGGACGGCCGCCGCGCCCACGGCCAACAGGCAGCACTCCGCCGCCCCCACGGCGGCCGCGAGGGCGCGGCGGCCGCCGAGGGCCTCGAGCGCGCGCCACGCGCGCCCGCCGCTGCGGCGAGCGCAGGGCCCTCCCCAGCGTCGGTGCCGGCCTGAGGCCCGGGCGGGCCGCGGAGGCCGCCCTGGGGCGCCGAGAGGCCGCCCCGGAGCTCAGGCTGGCCGTGATACCGTGAACCCGTAGAGGAAGGAGGCGCGATGAGGAGGCAAGGGCCTTGGGCGCCCAAGTCGAAGCCTCTCGAGCGGGCGGCGGCCAACGAAAGCGGCCAGCCGGGCGCGCGAGCGGGGCGCACCACGCGCTGCAGGCCCGCGCGCGCGCACGGGCGGGCGGCCCGCGGGCGCTGCGGGGGCTCCTCGCGAGGAGGCGAGCGCCCGGGCTCCCGGCGGCGGGCGCCAGCCCCCGGCCAGCTCCCGGCGGCGCAGAAGGGGCGCCAGCGGCAGGGGGCTCTGCGCGAGGGGCGCCGCCGGGGCGCCGCGGCGCCGCGCGGCGGGGCCCCCGCAGGAGCCGTGGGGGCCCAGCGCGCGCGCGGGCGCGCGCGTGGCGCGCGCGCGCGCGATGCGGCAGCTCTGGGTGCCAGTCGGCGTCGAAGCCGACTCCGGGGGAAAGGGGGCGCCGCGGGAAGCGCCCGGAGCCGCGAGGTCCTGCGCGGCTCCACTTGCGCGTGCAGTCGACGCGACCCCGGGGCACACGCCAGCCCGCGGACGGTTTGAGTCGCGAGATCAGTTCACCGCCGAGTAGGGGGTATCCCGTCAGGGACCCCCTCCTCGGCGACCCCCTCCCTGTTCTCTCTCGAAGGGGAGTCGCCAAGGAGAGTGAGAAGGAGGAGGAGGAGGAGGAGGAGGATGAGGAGGAGGAGGAGGAGGATAGTGGAAATGCCAATCTGGGATCGACATCGCCAGGCGTCTCGACTCCTTCCCACACCCGGGAAAACGCCAGGCACGGCCCAGGCGTGCCTGAGCTGAGCCGCCGCGGGGCCGGGCGATTCTGCAGCTGGGAGGCCGCGGGAGAGAGAGGGCGAGGCGCGCGGGGCGCGGGGCGCGAGGGCGAGAGGGAGGGGAGAGCGGGAGGATGAGAGGAAGAAGGATAACATGGAAGATAGTTCGGCAAGCCATCCTCCCTCCCACGGGAGCTGGCGCGACGCGCGCGATTTGGACGGCAGCGGAAATCAGCCGGCGCCGACCGGATATGCCCCTATTCCGCAAGGAGTGCTCGCACTTCGGGGCTCTTTCTTGTTTTCTCAAGATTTGGGCTGGTGCGTCGGTCTGGCGTCTATGTTGTCATCGTCGCCGCCCCGTCGTCGCCTCGTCGCCGCCCATCGTCTGCGCTGGTGTATCGGCCTGGCGACTATGCTGTCGCCGTCGCCGCTCCTCACCGCCGACGCCGCTCGTCGCCGCCGCCACTGCACCACATAAATTGAGAAATATAGATCGCAACACATAGATTCTCCTTTCTCAACAGAAAACAAACTGTACCCCCCCCCGCCCGGGATTATCGACAACATCGCATTGCAATTTACATCTGGTTCTGCACCATCGTCGATCCTAAATATGAACGCATACCGTCCCAGGCAGGCTGGTCTCGACCCCCCTCCGCCATCCTCTGCCGAAAAAAACCACGCGCACTCATTTATCATAAATCAACAGATTTCAAAAATCCCATGCACAAAAAACCAGGACACCATCCCATGGGGGTTTCATCGACCCCCCCCCCGCCATCTTTTCAAAAAAACTACGCGCGCGCACTCGCGCATCAAAAATTATGCTAACGGAGTTCCCCACATAAAGAGATTAACGGTTTCGTGGGACGCATTTTCTTGATGCCCTCCTCGCTTTGGCGGGGCCCCGCTGGAAGGGGGGAGGGCTACGAAACCTGGCGAAGAGTAATGCTTTCCGCGACCCTCCTCGCTCAGGCGGGGCCTCCCTGGAGGTGTGGGAGGGGCACGAAACCATGTAAATAGTATGGTTTTCGGATACCCTCCTCGCTCAGGCGGGGCCTCCCTGCAGGGGTGGGAGGGGCACGAAACCATGTAAATAGTATGGTTTTCGGATACCCTCCTCGCTCAGGCGGGGCCTCCCTGGAGGGGTGGGAGGGGCACGAAACCATGTAAATAGTATGGTTTTCGGATACCCTCCTCGCTCAGGCGGGGCCTCCCTGGAGGGGTGGGAGGGGCACGAAACCATGTAAATAGTATGGTTTTCGGATACCCTCCTCGCTCAGGCGGGGCCTCCCTGGAAGGGTGGAGGGGCACGAAACCATGTAAACAGTAGGTATGATACCTCTCCTCC